TAATATAATAATAAAATATCAGCAACAGCTCAGACTGCTCTGGAGTAAAAACTGTGGCATTTTCTCTTCTGGTTTTGCTTGAAATAGCTGTATTAGAGCAGCCAAGAATGCCGAAAACAGTTTCCACTGTATCAACTTTTAAGGATCATTCAAGTGCTTTGTGAAACTCCATTCAGATAATCTGTAAAATATGGAATATGTGTGTAAACAAAGTTTTTGAGAGTGTTATTGTTTTGGGTAAAAACGTTCCATAGGTCTACAAGCTCTTGATACTGAGAAGTAGATCTGGCACCACTTTGTCCAAAGACATAAAACATGGCTTTAGTGTGAGAACCTTAACTGCTGCGGACTTGAAGAAATAGAAATTTCTGACGCAATAGTTGCACTACACTTAATATTTGTTTAGAATGGTCTCCAGAAGTTTCAGCAATACTTGACTTGATCTTCTCTTGGAATGGACTTTCAGGTGGAAGTATCTGCCAGGAACAATGAAAAAAACAAGTACCTCTCCACAGCACAGTAGCTATGTTTTCCCTCTAGTGCAGAAGTAACTGAATGAAATAGATTTATGAATCCCAGTGTTTAACTTATTTCTTGGACTGATGGACAGACTCCAAGATTTGGCAGGGAAAGACTGTTAATCATGTATGTGAAGGGTGCTCTGCCTTCTTAAAGCTCCTCCTCATTGCCTTCTTCAGCAAAACTGAATAAAGCAGAAAGGTTAGATTACCGTTTCTGCTGTTGCATAGCTCATTATTGTCATCAGACTGAAAACCAATCCACTGAACAATTTTTTGGCACGAGTCAGAATTAATTTGTTTAATTACACACATTATTTGTTTAATGACACACAATGAATGTGGTGAATTGTTCAGAATCGCTTCAACTCAATACAATCGTGACTGTAAAATTCAATACAGCACAAGTGAACAAGTGCAGAATACCAAGACAACTTCTTTTAGACAGCCTGCAAGTATTGCTATGCATTTTGTAAAAATCCTTGGGACCAATGAGACAAATTTCAGTCAATAAAAATCATAGTTTAACAGCAGTGTTGGTCATTCATAATACAAAATCTAAATCAAAAGGTTTGATACTGTGTATGCTAAATAAGGATACTTTTCATGGTTGTGAGTTTTTGGAGGGTAATTTGTATTGCCCTTACTGTGTCTTTTCATTAGCTGCACCTAACAAGGCAGCAAGGTCTGGATATGGAGGAAAATTTCTCATAACTTATACAGGTACCTGGTATTTTCTGCCCACCACTCAGGCAGTAAGAAGCAAAAATGTTGGAGCTGGCCAGATTGTTTCTGCAGGGCCTAGGAGAGCCTCATTAATACTATCCAAAGCCAGTCTGCGCAGTATATTCTGTATTGATTTCAGCCATGTGTCATGAGTTCTCTAGATCACTTTAGCTTAGATTCCTACAGACATGAACATTTTTTTGAACGTTTCTCATATCAATTCCTGAAAAACCTTAAAATCATCAAAATAATGATGATTACACTCAGGTCTCATCTAGGAAAATGAGAAGCTATGAACAGATAGCTGCTGTTCTGTTCCTGTACATCTTTGTGAGACTGACTAAGAATCAGATCTGTTCTACCATCTGGACTGGTGCTTTTTAGATGCTTGAAGAGTATCATTGATCTAGAATGAGATGCAGACAAAAGGTCTGATGAAAGCGTATGCAAAGCCTGCAGGGGCTCAACTAGAGATTAGTGGGTACACATAATGCATCCAAAATCAGCGAGTGCTTCCCCAACAGGAGAGATCCTGTATATTTAGACATAGTTTAACATCTTATGGTCCAAATTAAACATAATCCCAGCCTAACAAGGAGAGCTATGTACTTTCTCCCAAATTTTTGGTTCCAGTGACATTTGAAACCACAGGAGTCATGGATTAGGAATAAAGCTTTTCTCAGCACTGATTAGCACATCATTCCTTATCTTGCATAGCTCAGTTCCGGAGCAGATTTCTTCAGGTTTCAGTTCTACCCACTTTTTTACAGCAAAAGAAATCATATGGCTCTTTGTACAGAATCTGTCTTTGCCTCCAAACAATGGTGCACAGATCTGTTATGCTTTACAACACAAGGAGAAAGCTGCCCTTTGGATATTGACACAAATGTATTTAGTTCTTTTGAAACCTTTGTGAAAGGATAAGTTGGATTTGTTAGTCACTTTATTTTAATCTTACACATGCAAAAACACTTTGTCATGCTTCATATGTACCTCATCGGTATTTTATTTCTTGGACTGTATAATCTATTCTACTTCTGAGCAGAACATAATGCTCTCCTCGAATGCATAGCGGCAATGCTGTAATATTGTGAAATATATCTTGATCTTCCAACTTGGAACAAAGCAAATTCTGAATGAGAAGCAAGGTTTCAAGGGTTTTAGCAAGTTTATCAGCAGCGTACCTGCATTTTTTTACATACCAATGTATTTGTCTTCCTTTTCCTCTTCTCCCCGTCGCTTTAATTTGGTGTCCTTTTTGACAGTAATTGCCGCTGGAGGGGCTGCTTCTGTCTTTTTTCCTTTCATTTCTTTCTCAGCTATCTTGGCATTAGGTTTTTTTTCCTTCTTGCCAGGAGGTTTAGATTTGTCTATCCCTCTGTCTTTTTCCATTTTTCGCTCTTCTTCTGCCTGGCAAGATGAAGAAATTAAGTTCTTGTTGTAGCCTTTGTGCAGAACAAAGGGCAAACTGCTGTAAAATTTTAGTGGTTGAATTTATTTAGTGGTTGAATTTATTATTTATTTAGTATTTTTCCCTCTCAGCTATTAGAATGATGTTGTGGTGCAACTATCTTAAGCACTCTGCTTTATTCTTCTCAGGCACGCTACTCAGTTTATTATATTCCTATTAAATCTTAGTGTCAAAACTTCACGTTAAAAAGGAACTATTAGAGGTAGGTACACATTATACTTACAAAATTAATTGAATGCATACTGGTAGAAAGAAGAGTAAAGGATCACTGAGACTGATAGCTTCCTGTGCTTCAGTTAGACTACCACTACAGCACTTGCACCAGCAGGAAACCTTCCCTGAACTGAAGGAAAATAAGGCCAAAAATTCAATTTCTGTTTAGTCTTTAGCATCTCTGTTAATGCTCCTAAGTATGGCATAAATGGTACCAGCACTATTTTGCCTTTGATGTAAATATCTGTCTACTATAAACTAAAACCAAGAGCCCCATGCTCATTTCACACAGGATATTACTCAGCCATTCTCATTATTTTCAAACAAAAACACCCCTACATTAAGTTCTACTCAGTAATTTAAGGGTAAAAAATGAAAAAGGATGGTGTAAGTATCCCAGAGCCTCACATTATAAATCCAGGAAATGCAGGGCCAATTTAAAATTAAAAGAAATCGAAATACATTGAGGCAAAGAGAGGTTCTGTAAGGGTAAGAAAATCTCCACCTTATTCTACCCAGCCGCATGACTATGCAATAACTATATAAGAATGGCATTTAAGGACTGTAAAGCTAAATTAAGTGCATTAAAAAGACATTAATTTAACTTACTGTTACCATCCTTACTGATGTCACATTAAAGGCTATGAAAGCAACGAGAAAAGCTCTCCATGTGAACGAGATAAGTCCGTTGAATCTACACACTTGTTTTCCCTAGACCCAGCCAGAAAAGCAGACTTTCTGGCTGTAGAAGTTGACTCTAGTTCAAATTCAAAACCAAAGCAAAAAGTCAGTTCTTTCCTTCCCTTTTTCATGTATTTCCTTTTCGTACCACTCAGAAATGCCTTCAAGAGATTCTTAAAACTTTTTATCCTGTGGAATGGTGGATTTTGATTACTTTTCATTATTTGTTTTCAAATGTATTCCCCTTTGGACATTGAACATCAAAGATTTTGATACTAAAACTTTAAATTCTAAGCTAATGAACACATCAAATCAGATTACATAATCATCAGTCTCTAATGTTCAAAATGGACTGATTGCATCTGAATCACTTTATGTAATTAAGTCTCAAACAAGCAAAGACACCTCTGAACTTATCAAGATTCCAAAAAGCCCTAGCTCTCCTTAATACCTCAAGAAGTATAAGCCTCCCCTTTTCAGTACTTTTTCTTCTTTCTCTCTCAATGTAATATTTCTCTTTCTCTACAGGGTACAGGTTTCTGTTGAGTTTTTCATCTTCCATTAGTTTTGCATTCTATAATTTTGTCATTTTAAACTGTATATTACAGAATCATACTATTTGAAACAGTTTTCCAGTTCAGAGGCCCTTCTGCTTTTCTGCATATTAATTTCCATGTACACACTTGTCAACTTATGACAAGCTTCTGCTTTTACAGAAACATATAAATTTTAGAGATGGAATTATGTTTTATTTTTGTTTATTCAGCTGCTGTTTTCCTTTTGCCAATCCATTCTATTAACTGGTATCTATTTCAAAGAACAATGGACAGTTATGTTGGATTTCTGACAATCAATCTACTGGTAAAATCCTGGTTACAACCCTTGAGTTGCTGTCAGTGGAATTTGTACCGTAAAAGCTAGTTGGAAAAGATTAAAAATTTTATTGTAGACAATTTAGAGTTAAAAATCTAAACTAAAAGCCAGTTTCTATCCATTCCTTACTGCAGGACATCCTTATGAATCGCAGTCCTGCCGATTCTTAACTTCACATTGGCCCTTCAACTGTTGCTCTTACGTTTGTCACACTATGATTTAAATATAATCCAATGAGAGCAGAAAACTGTGTCCAGATTGCCCGGTAAAAACTGTGAAGAATTCCAGAGACTCTTCTACCTTCAATACTAACTACCCTCTGATTCTCTAGGGAAATAAAATTATACTTAAAACAGTAATCTTGCCAAACCAAAGATAAAGGTTCCAGTTTAATATCAAAGTGCCTTATCCTTAAACTTCAAAATTTTGTTTTACAGTTTACTCATCAGCACTGATTGACATCTAAGAGAAAAGCCATTTCTTCCCTATCCATTATAAACTATCTGCTCTACAGCTTGATCTTTTCAATTCCTCTTCAGGTTGAGAATGCATTTTTTTTCTCAGATTCTTTATATACTTCTGTGGCTTACATTATCACCTGCTAAATAGTTTTTCAATTGACTTCAATGGAAACAGGACAGAGTTTTAAATTATCACCTAGTATTTTACGCTCTTGTGTTTGTGCCATATTCCCCCCACCAACTATTGCCAGAAACAGAATCATTTATAAACACATTTACAGAAAACCATTTTCTTCTTTAAACTATTACATGCACAGACCACTTAGGTCTCCATCTCATCTCATTTTACAGTTTTTATGTTATGTCCTGCAATACACATAATTTTTGATCAATTTACAGAATAATTTGTTACAACAAGTACACGACTTGCTGTTAGTGGAGCTCTTCAGCTGCACAAATATCCGTTTGGTAAAGACTATAGCAAAGACCAGCTGTTCAGTAAGTTCTTGAAACGTACTACTGACAATTTTTTTTTTTTTAGTCACAGAAGTTAAAAAATAATTAGAGGTCTGATTTGATAGTGATTTTGTGCAGGCTTGGTGAAATTCCTCTAGAACACATAGGCAACCTGAACAAGGCATTCTTGGAGCTAGTAGTGATAATCTTTGAGAGTATGTATGACTTTTGGGAACACTTGAAAAGGACCCAGTTCTCAGCAGCAGACTTCAAGATATGAATTATTTGGAAAGTTCACAGGACAGCAACCAGCGTAATCAGAAAACTAAAAATGTGACCTATGTTTGTGTTTGTTTACTTAAACATGTAATAGCTTTCTGCAAAGGGGAAGGTAAGAACTGTTATTCTCATACACAGTGAGAAGCCATCTATCAACGGATTTAAATTAGAGCAAGACTGATAAAGTTAGAAACATTTTCCAAATGTCTAGGTTGTAAATACAGTTGAGCAGTAATACCAATTGCCTTAGAAAAATGAAAGCACAGCAGCGTAATTTTTTAAGAACAGGTTAAACAAACATCTGCCAGGAATATTTTAAATTTGTTTGATCCTGCCTTAGATTCAGAGATGGAAGAGATAACATTTCCAAATTTCTTCCAGAAAGGTGATTCATGATAATAACTTTTTCACAGTGCTGCTCTGCATCTATCCTTGATACCTCCCAAGTAATTTAACTTAACCTACCTTTAGCAGGGATATATATATTCAGCCGAAGCTAGTTTCCGGCTCTATTTTCTGTTGGTGTTGTGATTCAGTTAGGACACTACTTCTTCTAACTATTCTACCACAGACTTCTTGGACTATATTTTTTCTTTTCTAATTTTCTTCCTCCTGTCTCACCTACTTGAGTAATTAGGAGTTTCTTCCCAAAATTGAATTAACTTCAAAAAATACATTTCTATTTAAGTTTCTCTTCAGTTACGGATACAGAAATTTAAACGTGAGGAGAAAGCCGAATTTATGCAAACAGCCTGTACCTTCTTTTCAGCTTCTCTTCTCTGAAGGTCTTTCTGCTTGAAGCAAAGCAATTGAAATTTCAATAGCTTTCCAATCAGTGTTATAGGAATTGGTTCTCCACTTTCCAGAATGGCTTTGGCTACTTCAGTCACCTTCAGAGAAAAAACAAAAATAACTCTTACTCATATAGTTTTAATATCACATTTGACAAATATTTTGCATGCTGTAATGACGGAATACTGTTTCACATAGTACAATGTGTGGCTCAGAATGGCCACACTTCCAGAAAAAACAACATATCAGTAAGATGCACAGCTACTCTTCAGTTCCCAAGACCTTCTTGTTAGCCAAATGAAGTTATGCCTGCTGGGGATGAGATTGAACTAGCACGGAGAAAACTTCCGTAATTAATGTGAAAGTCAACAGATACACAGTTCTTACTGTAAAAAGTCTTTTTTTTTTTTTTTTTTTACATTTTAAGCAAAGCAGTAACATTAAGCAACTACCTATTATAAAGTAATAAATTAAAAAGCATTTAACAGATACCAAATCAACTGGGATAGCTTGGAGCACTATTTACAAAGTGGCTAGTGTCTGAGGCATTAGCCCTGAATGAAAGATATAAACTTTGTGAGGGGAACTTGAGAGAGTCTGTCTTGGTGAAAAGACATCCCCTCCCTGCGTAATGCTGATTCTGTTGGTATGCAGCCTAATTGGGGTGAAATAAGGCTATTGAGTTTTCTTAGGGTGATGACAGCAGCGGGAACATACAGCTGCATTGTCCAGATGTGTGGCATTGACAGGCTATTTTATGACTATGTTTTTTACAGCTTGTTTCCACTAAATTTCATACAACTCACTAACATCTGGGCCGTTTTCCTTGGAGTCTCATAACCACTTTATTTACTGCGAAAAAAATAAAATAACATAAAAATAACATAAAAAGTTGTTATATGTTTCTTTTCACTTGTGTTGTCTCTGTCATAAAGTTCACCTATGTAGGAAGCGCTGTTCAGGAATAATATAACCACAATATTTTTCTACTTTTGTTTTTAAGCAACCATCAGCTTTATTTATAACCATGGGCTGAATTAGGTGTTACTCAAATGTTCTGACATGTTTCTCTTTTCCCCTCTTGGAGCAATTACAGTTGGGCACATATGGTGTCAATTTTGCTTGCTAATATTCAGACAATGAAGGTGCACACTGCATCTCACTGAACTGTGTCTTGTCTGATAGAAACAACACTGTTACTGTTGAGCTTTCATAGTTTCTTGTCCAGCTTCTTCAGAATTTTCACCTATCAAGTAAAACCTGGAGTAAGCAAACGTAGCCACTAAAAATGGTTCTCTGGATAAAACAAAGACAAAGTGGAATCCAGGCTATTTCGAACCAAACCATTGTTTCACTGAAATGGAAGCAAAACATAGAAAAGAATCTCCTAATATTCAAATTTTTCTGCATCGCATAACAGGGAGACAAACCCTGCAAATACTTGTATTTATAAACCCCTCCCCCCAAAAAAAAACAGTCCTGCCCCTCCAATGCTAATATACCTCATGATCTGCTCACTACACAAACAGGAAAATATATCATGGCTAAGATCACTTTTGCTTTACATCATTCGTACTCTGAGTAGAAATACTTTCTGCTCACTATCTCAACAAGCCAGCTGTGGAAGGCTTCCACCAAGACTCCCAGTGACTTCAGAGTTGTGTTAGAATATCAATGACATGTTAAGAACAGATTTTAAAACCCCCAAAGCTGCAGGTACCCTAGGAACTACTAGCCATTCTAACAAACAAGTCACCTGAAACTAGCTACACAGAAAATCTAAGTTCTGAGAGAAAGAGACTTTGGTAGAAGTAGCACAGTCATTTTCCTTAGAGAGAAAAATTCTCATATAGTTCTTTGCAGAAATGGTGTTAACAGGCTATGGAAAGAGATGCATCCCAATTGCCTAATCTAGACAAGTTGGTCGTAAAAAGCACATTTCTTGAAACACAATAGAGGAGAAATGGGGGTATTCTGGAAGGCTTCCCAAAAAGTATATATAGCAGCCAGGCTTGGTGGCGGTTGCTGATTTATTGTTCATGGAAGAAGGAACACTTACGCAGTTTTACAACACATTCCTCCTGAGAAGTTCAAAGCGTTTTACCAATTAAATACAGTGCTTTCTGATTATTTGTATTTTGCAGATAGAGAATGCAGAAATGAAGACACTTGTCCAAGTTCTATAGTGAGCTGCACCACTGCGTGAATAGATGGGAAGAACAAATGTTTTTTTAAGTGAGGTGTTAGGTAGGTGTAAACCAAACTCTATTTAACAAGAGTACATTCTAAGGCTCTGGAGCACACTTCATTTGGCAATGCACAAGAAGTAAATTACTAGTTTTGCATATAGCAATGTAAAATCTGCTTCATGCATAAGCAAATAAAACAACAATCCTTCATCACTGCTAGTTTAAAGATAGAAGATAGATCAATCCATGCAGAGTAGATAAAAGAAATTTGTTAGGTACTCAATTTATTACATCGATGCATGTTTACTTCCTTTGTGGCCCTGTGACTTACGCAGGCACCTGGCATAAACAGCTCATAATCCAAAGAGTCTCCATAAAACAAAAAAAGAGCTAAAGACAAAGACTTGGTAGGAATACAGATAGATGGAATTTTTCAGGACACTATGGGGTGGATTTGTTTCAAATTGGCTAGACTTCATCCCGCCAACGATGACCTTTTCCTTATGTGAGAAACCATGGAAACTTGGACAGGGAAACTCACTTAGGTAGGGCCTCTTTTCCTTTAAAGGAAGAGGAAACTCAGCATTCCTCACACAGCAGGGGTCATACTTGTGAAGTGCTGAAAGGCTGCAGTGATACAGGATTTGATCTCATATGGTGGCAGTATGAAACCATACAGAGATTTAGCTGCCTGGTGCAAAGGGCATGGATTTCAAGATGTTCAAACATTGTATGAGCACTTGTAGTAGATATATATTATTGGTAGATGCTAGTATCACTGAGGTAGGAGACAGGTCTTAAAAGTTAGGGCAATGTTTAAAGCCAGAGTCTTTATGATATTTTTCACTGAAGAGTCATTGTGGCTGCTAAATCCTAATCAGAAAAGATTTCAAGCTGGTAAGTAGCTTTATCAATTTTGACTGCTCTATCATTTCTTGGAAGCAGCTAGCATCACTTGCTATGAATAGTGGGGAACCCATTTCATTGTGTAGTTTTCCCAATCCAAATGGAGTTTTCTAAAGCCCCAACTTCCCTCCCATTCTTGAAACTATAAGAAATCCAGGCCATCACATTGCAGACTCACATTCCTACTGATTCCTAAAAGAACTCCTTAGTAATTCAGATCCCTTAATAGCTGACACACCTGAAGTCAATTTGAAGCAGGTAATGTATCTTTTACAGAAGAGCCACTAGTCAAAAAGCCCAATGGATGACACACACCAACCAAGTTATTGTTTATTATTCAAATACACTTTCTTGAGCAAGCTAAAAAAAGCACAAAAAATAATTTATTTCAATCTGCAGTCACTGTCATGAAACCCTCATAAGGAGCTTTCAGGATACATTATTGAATGAAAACTGCATGAATCATACTAATAGATAAATTTCTTTTATCCAAAGAGGGCTTCTGTTAAACTTTTCTGCATCTGCTGATGTCATTTCATTGACTATTATATCTTATTGAAAGAATACCAGGAAGGCCCTGAGCTCACTGAAACAGATTATTTCAGATCATACCTGCAGTGTGCTGGTAGGCAATTTAGTCTCTGCTATCAGACTATTCACCTCATTTCATTTTTGTCTCGCAGAGCCTCTTTCCAACTATCATGTCAAAAGATCACCTGCTTAATCAGCATCCTTCATTGGTGAACTCAAACTCAGAATTCCAACTGAGCTTGAGGACTCATGTGAATTAGTAAATGGCATATATGAAAAGAGCTCTATACAGAGCCTAGGCATCCACATGGGAGTCTGTGAAACTTAAGCCAATGAATCATCTTCATTAATCAGTGAAGAATCTGCCAACATGTACTCCAGATAATTTAAAAAATGCATTAAAGTAGATTTGATGATTCCTTCTGCCCCTCAGAGTCCCCATCTAAACCCTAGTTTTCAGATTAAACCTACTAAAATAAGACTGCTTTCACTATTGAGCAATATTGAGCAAATATGTATGCTGCTCACGTACTAAACATCTGCCTTTCTATTATGGGAACATTTCTCAAAGCAGCAGCAACGGCTGCTTGTGCCCTAGAAAGATATGTTGTCATTTATGTGAGCAAGTCTGTTTTTGCCAATTCACTACATAGTTTCATCTGGTTAGCAGAAACCTAGCTAGAAATAATCATTCTAAAATGGCCTATGAATTAAACCTCTCTCTTCAAACAACGTGCCACCTGAGGGGATACCTTAACTGGTTTAATTCTAGTCATGCAGAAAGAGAACTTTCTAAAGATATACAGCGCATGGGTCTTAACTTTACAAGCACCTGAATAATGCCTATCCTACAGGGGACAGAGGCACCGATCTGCTGACCTGACCTCTTGTCCAGAGAGGTTTGCTGCCTGCCCGGGGCTTGAATAAGAGATGTCATGGAAAGACTGCCAAGGCTTGTCCATGCATCGGACTATTACCCTCTGCTGATCTTCCAGGTAGGCACTAATGACACCAAGGGCAAATTGGATACCATCAAACAGGATTTCAGAGCTCTGGGGATGGTGGTCAAGGGTCTGGGAGCCCAGGTCATTTTCTCCTCAATCTTGCCTGTGAGGGCAAAGGATGGGAGGAGGAGTAGATGACTTTTCCAAGTGAACAACTGGCTGCGCCACTGGTGCTGGCAGCAGGGTTTTGGTTTCTATGACCATGGGACCCTGTTTGAAGATCGACAGCTGATGGAGAGAAATGGGATCCATCTCACCAAGTGGGGCACATGTGTCTTTGCCAACAGATTGGCCAGCCTGGTAAGGAGGGCTTTAAACTAGGAAAGATGGGGGAAGGGGAGTGTTATAGAGACAGGGTAGTCAGTAAAACACTGCTCAAGTCAGGATGCCTCCAGCAGGTGCATGCAGCCAGGGGAGACAGCATGGGACACAGCTATGGAGGCTCCTCTTGCACCTCTCCTGGGAAGC